GAATAACTCTTAATAAACTCAAGGCGCAAACTAGCAAGCTCTTACAGTCATTAAAAGCTAAGCTAGGATCGTCCTTATGGTTTATGTTATATCCAAAGAGTTGTAATCCATGCAGATTTTATGGGCTACCAAAGATCCACAAAAATAATACTCCACTAAGACCAGTGGTAGACTATACAAATTCACCGACTTACAATCTAGCTAAATATTTAGCTAAGATTCTCGAAACATATGAAAAAACGAATTAATGATGGAATTAAAAACTCTATGGAATTCAAGAATTTAATTGATACCATCGATATAGAAGAGGACGAAATAATGGCAAGTTTTGATGCATCTTCCTTATTCACTAATGTACCTATCAGTCGAGCTATGGATATTATCAATGATTATTTAGAATCTGATTTAGATTTGAATTTACGATGCCCATTAGATCCATCAGAGGTTATAAAATGCTTAGAATTATGTTTAAGATCATATTTCGAGGTCAACTTTACAGACAGAAAGACGGTATAGCAATGGGCTCACCAGTTTCTCCGATTGTAGCGAATTTATTCATGCATTCCCTAGAAACTAGTGCAATCGCAAAGAGTTTATGTCCACCAAAGTTATGGTTAAGGTATGTAGACGACATTTTTATTATCAATAAACTGAATGGTATGGAAGAACTATTTAACAATGCAAACAGCATTTCTGAAAACATTAAACTAACCAAGGAATTAGAATCAGTTGACCACAAACTAGCATTTCTAGATTGTCTGGTTGAACGTCGACACAATAATAAGAAGTTAAAAATAAATGTTTACAGAAAATCAACACATTCCGAGAGATACTTGGATTTTAATTCAGCCCATTCACAGAGCACGAAAATTAATGTAGTAAAAAATCTAATGAACAGAAGTACTAAGATTGTTACAGACAAGGAAGACCAACAAACCGAATTAAATAAAGTATTTTCTACTCTTAGGGATAACAACTACCCAAAAAGGTTTTTAAAAAAGATTATTAAAAATGAAAGAAAAACTAAACTAGAAAGTATACAAAAAGAATGGAAGTACACCGTAGTCATACCTTACCGGAGTGAAACATCAGAAGAAATCAAACGGATTCTAAACAAATATGATATAAGAGTGTATTTTAGAGCAAATAACACATTAAGATCGACATTCGTGAAAGTTAAGGACAAGTTAGCAAAGGAAGGACAACAGAATATTGTGTACGAGATTAACTGTCATGACTGTAATGCTACCTATGTTGGAGAAACATCCAGGCAATTGAATGTAAGATTGAAGGAACACAAACAATGCTTGAAAAATGTTCCAAAATCCTCGGTAGATTTAAAGAAACTTGAAAATAAGTCAGCGATAGCGTTACATGCGTTAGAAACAGGACACAAGATTAATTTTGAAGGGACCAAAATACTTCAGAAAGGTTTTAACACCCATAAAGAAAGATTGACAGCAGAAGCTCTGCATATATGGGCGAACAAGAACAGCCTGAACCGAAAAGATGGTATTCAAATGGCAACTACCTGGCAAATTTCGTTTGACAAGTAAATTTGGAACCTATCTCTTGTTTAAACCTGTTTTTAATATCACATGCATCGTTATTATTATTGAAAGAACTGAATGAGTTTTTAAACAATACAATTTATTATATGTGAAAATTATATTTGAAATAGTCTCAGCGATTGAAATTTACCCTGAAGAAGTCCAGACAAGGTAGCTGGACGAAACGTTGGAATTAGTTAAATTTCAATCGCTGAGACTATTTCAAATATAATTTTCACATATAATGACTTCTCTATACTCGGCGCTCAATTACTGTCAAACTATTCTTTCTAATCTTGACGAATATTCGTATAAATGTATAGTTTATAGTTCTTTCCTTTCTGTAAACTTATGGCTAATGACCAACTATGAGCAAGTGAATCTTCTCTATGCCCATTTGTTAGAATCGTGGCACATAGTAAATTAACATAGCTGAATGGTGTTAAAAAAGCTATGAGTCTCCTTCACCAACATGGTTTCGTAAAGTTTTATTGGATATATATATATATATATATATATATATATATATATATATATATATATATATATATATAAGCTACGCATACTAAAGATTTCAAGCCGAATAGGGAAAACTGATACTGTTGTGAAAGAGAACTCATATGGGAAAACCAATTTATTGTTTGATGCCAAATTAGAGTCACTCCAGAAAAATATGAAAACCACACATTAAATACACTATTTGTCCATCTCCTCTGTGTCGTCATTCACACATCATTATCACTCTATTCCGTTTTCTTTTTCGATTGTCTTTTTGTTGTTTTCAATGCAATCTCCTACCAGATATTCCACTTCCGATTGCGGCCACGTACTACTTACATCTGTCGGTATAAGTAGCATAAACCACAGTACTACGGTATTATGAGTTTGTGTTTGTTCGTATATTTGAATATTAAACAAAGTCGGAGGGTACTGGGGAAGTAGGGTATCTTGCTGTTCTTATCGTCCAAGCGTTTTAGGACGAAGTAAATGGATGCTTATAATTAAAATTTGAAATGACAGATTGGTAATAACGGTTCATAAAACTGTCCATATTTACCTGGTCGATAATCGATATTTATCAAATGCCCCTTTCTTGACTGACTTGATTGTAAGGAATTACTAATTGTTCCATACATGACTATAGCTGATACATACCAAAGATGTTCATTAACTTCGTCAAAAGAAATTTTAGCAAGACCACCGTGACAAACGATCACAAATAAATGAGACAGAAAATTACCACAGATTCAACGTTATTTCTTTTAAAAGTATTCATGTCAAATGTTAATTTAATTCTCTCAAGTCTAATGATTCGTTTTGTTACACAACTTTTGTCCGTGTATTTTTTCGCCTTTTGGATGATATGTAAATGTGAGATTATCTGATTTTTTGGCCAAAAGAAAAATAGCTGTGGTATGGAAAAATCTGTGTCAATGACACTTGAATTTCATTAAAATATCCTACAATTTCCTGTACTGTATTACATTTAGACTGTTCTGAGTTTTATGTGTACTGCATCTCACAAACCCCACTCACTTCTGTTTTTGGTACTCTTGAATGAACCTTGAACTGACAAATGAATGTTGAATTATAGGTTCATACATATTTTTCGGCTGTGATGTTGGGAAGTTTTCTTAGTTATCCTGATGGTTCTTTTACTCATATGTCGATAAATTATCTAACGGTGAGCAGTTCATTCTTAAATCGCGTGTTTTAGTTGATTAGGTTTTTCAGTTGATAATTAAGACTGACACTAATCAGTCTCTTTTTAGCATATATGCATTCTATAAGGATTGGTTCGATATTGCCAGTAAGTCACACGCATTATAAAAAGAGATGAATAATGGTAGGAGTGAAACCCAGGACTCACTTTTTGTACTATTTAGGGCTCATGTGTTATATGTATTTTCAAGTTCAGCAAGGAATGGATACCCTCAAAATTTAGAATTGATATAATTTTATATTTCAGTAACACTAATAAACTATATCTAACATTCTTTAAAGTCGACTTATCTCTGGTCGTAATGACAACCATATTTTCATTTCAACTAATCAAGTTAAACATACAATTCATAACTTTGTTAATCGCTAGACAACAAGATATCAGTTACTAACTAGTAACTAAAAAATATTGAGTAATTTGACAAGTAAATAATAAGTTGTTTTGATATTCATTATTAACACCTTTTTTGTTTGAAAAGAAAACAACTCATTAATCATTATAAGTAAGATATTACTACACTAAATAGTTGGTTTTTTTTTTAAATCCCGCCATAGAAAACATGTTCTTTTTAAATAGCTTATTAAGAATTCATTTATTATTGTAAACAGGAATGAAAAGTAAACTCATTAAATTAATCATAACAATAAAAGATACAACAACATTGATTACTTCTTTCTGTTGGATACATTTTTTTTAAAATTTTCAGCTTAATTATTACGAATTATTTATAATTAATGCAAATGAATAAAACAGGAGTCATTTATAATTTCATTAATTAATTAACGCCCTAATTAATTGTTAAACTTGAAAAAGACTATCATATTGTTTTGTCTATGATGTATATGTTACACCTATAATATGGATTTCAGGACACCTTTCAAGTGTTTATTCATGCTTTAATTCTTTCTTTCTTTTTCTCATTAAGATTAAAGTAGATGAAACATAAACACAGAATGATAGATTGTTTGTTTTTTTGGTAAAAAGGAAAAATTAAAAAAAAGAGAAGATGAATATATTGAAAATTACCTGACTTTACATGCTTTCAATAATGAAAATTATTAAGTGTGAAAATGTATACGTAGTATGTATGTTTAGAAAATCTTTGTATCTACATTTTGTTCTTTTGTTGGTTATCAGATATGAATAGTTTTATTGATAGTTTTCATTATGTTTTTAAAATTAGTTGGATAGGACTTTGAAATTTTGAATTTATAGGGTAGTTGATTTATCCATATTAGTATTGTGTAAATTTAGTATATTGAAGGATAAAGATTTGAAACATTATGTTTGGTAGTAACAATGTTGTGATTCAGTTATTGGATTAGAATTTTACGGTTAAATTAGCCATTTTTAATTAGTTAGTAACTACTTTTGAAATACGTTGAATGAACATTCATTCTTACTTCGGATCAGACTAATTTTATAAATTATAGTATCTAGCTAACAGTAACACAGGAACATTTAATGATATGACTTTGAAAGATTAATCTAACTAACATAGACTTTTCAATTTAATAACTTTAAATACTTTAATCAACAATAAAAGAATGTCATAAAAATATACTCTACCGTAAAAATGTTCCAGCGTTCAACATTGAATAATATAGTCATAAATCCGTTGCAGATATATTGAGTTATTTGAATTTCTAAAGTATGAAGAAAGGGTAAAAACCGCTTACAGTTTTAGTTGAGTAGTGAAGTTATTCATTTTAAATCAACAAGGTACTTTAATCAGATATACTAAAGCGTAGCTTATGTGAAGTTTTACTATGGTACTGTGCTTGATGTTTAAGTATAAATCTGAAGGCAAATTAAGGAAAACAATTTTAAAGTTCCGGTTTTTACTTTTATTTTGTCAAAATATAATTATGAAAAAAGTCCACAAAATCAATGTATATAATAGGATCTTTAGTTACATCTTAGTTATTCATGAGAACAATTTCCCAATAACAGTTGCCTGAAAAAATATTCAACCATACAAAGCAATAATAGTATAATATAGATTTTAGAAGGTAAAAACAACTTTAGCTGATTCAAAATTAAGTTAAGTTTTTAATATTAAATAAACTATTTAATAAGACTCAGGAGAAAGAAACAGTTCTTTAAGAGTAAAATTTTTAAAACAATCAATATTTGCGAGACAAGAATCATGAAGGTGTTTTTACTAAATAAATAATGAAAAGATAATCTACAATTTCTTCCTAAAAACTCAATAAAATTTAATTCATCTCAGCATTAAGCAAATAAATATTAGTGAATAAAATAACAAAGATAATAGAATGAATAACAAGTAATAAGATCACCGAGAGAATAGAGAAGAGGTAAAACGAAATGAATATACGTAAATGCATCATCATCATCATCATCATCATCATCATCATCATCATCATCATCATCATCATCATCATCATCATCATCATCATCATCATCATCATCATCATCATCATCATCATCATCATCATCATCATCATCATCATCATCATCATCATCATCATCATCATCATCATCATCATCATCATCATCATCATCATCATCATCATCATCATCATCATCATCATCATCATCATCATCATCATCATCATCATCATCATCATCATCATCATCATCATCATCATCATCATCATCATCATCATCATCATCATCATCATCATCATCATCATCATCATCATCATCATCATCATCATCATCATCATCATCATCATTATTATTATTATTATTATTATTATTATTATTATTATTATTATTATTATTATTATTATTAGTTGTAGTAGTAGTAGTAGTAAACAGCATAGTTTTTTTCACATAATAAAGATTTCTTTCTAATGACATTATTTTTTCTCTGTTTTGTTTTTATTATTATGATTAATTCAATAAAGAAAAACTACGAAATCTTGGAAATTATCGGACACAGACCTGTAATACATGACTGTTACAAAATATTATTAGCAAAAAAAGAAGTAAATGGACAAAAGTGTAATTGAAGAAGACTTTGCTATTGAATAGTACCAGTCAAACTAACAATCTATCGGTTATGTGTGATTTAGTGTACAATTTTAATAACATCTAGTTTAGTATTATTATTATCAGTCGCTATAATGCATATTATAATTTTGGTACAATACAAAATTCTCAGGACAAATTATTTCAACAAGTTACCTTTTCTCACTTCTTGGTCGATCCTTGCAATATATATTGAATGATCAGTAAATATAATACAGTTCAGCCCACTGAAATAAATCTTACCTAAATATAAAAATAATTTGATGGATGATCTTTTAGTCCTTCAATTTTTTTTACAATAAACGAGGGTAATGAAAATCATTCTTTCAGAAACTACAGTTACTCTGATTATTATAATATCAAATATTATACTCAGTCTGAACACTGATTAATTAGATACCGAAAAATGAAAGTTTTCTAACCCACTCTTTGCCTACTTATAAGTAGTTTAGGTAGAAAAATAAGATAACACACTAGAAAAGTTGGATAAGTTTATTCACTTAAATTAATCATTATCCATATATCACTTTGAAAGTCTATTTACAAAAAGTTGTGTATTTGCTAGAAATCTATCTTAAAACTATCGCTGAATGGAAAGAAAATACAACAAATAGTTAAAGGAAATGAGAAACGGCTTTCATTCAGGACATTTCATACTATTCTCTGAGAGGCTAAGTATTTTTTTTAAATATTCTTACGAATAAAGTTATAAAATTTATTATTTGTGTATTTTAGTTAGTAAATTATATTTTCATCATAATGCAGACAGACGACTGTAAAACAATTAATGATTTATATAAAAATAAACATCCCTCTATGTATATTGATGGTAAAGAATTGAAAGTAACGAAACTGTAGAATAATCATCAGTTCACTATGCATTCTACCTTTTCTCAACTCAAATGAAATCAAGGTTTAGTCACCAAACACTACTTGTAAAAATTATTATAATCGGAGCCTTAAACTTCTTGCTCATAGGTGGCTGTAAATAACTTGAAAGCAAACCAGCAAACTATACTTTCGAATAAATAATTTCTTCAGAAACTGATATCAGCTTAAAAATTATTCAACGTCATGGGAAACTGATCAATTATTTCAATTTTGTTTTAGGTTTTCATTCATCAAGTGTCCTAGACACCACAAAGAACATGACTGATGATTATGAAATATCGTAATGATAATAAAACTTTCAAACCACGGAGTCAGAATCCAATCGTCCACATTTTAAATTTTAGTTAGTGTACGATATACCCTAACCTTTTGACCATGCTACCAATGAGTTAGTGTCTGAGCACAGAAAAGCGTCAAACGCAATCGTATATGGTGGCGCAACTTCGTGGATTGGTTGAAGTTAGACATTAACACCGTTGGATGCCGGCTCAGTGGTCTAATGGTTAAGTGCTCGCGCGCGAAGCCAGTCGGTCCTGGGTTCGAGGAGTCCCATACTGGGACGAAACGGCCGTCCAGTGCTTCCAGGTTTTCAGTGGTGGTCTAGCTTCAACTGACTTATGATTTCAATCTGTGAAAATTTCTAGCAATCTCCACAAACCCCTTCTGATAGCAATCGTAATAGTTGTGATCTTCGGTATTCAGTGATTCTTTAACTAATGTTGATTTATTACGAAAATGATCTTTAAATTAAGAAGTTTCTTTACAAGACATCGATGCAAAAAAGTATTAGCCAACATTACATTATGATTATTGATTGCTTATATTTGCAAATATTTTATTGCTCATTCATTTTACTGCATCCATTTTCAAAGTAGATTCATTGGATGTTATATATTGAGAGTTATAATCAATAAAATAACTTACAGAAGAATAAATTTGACCAGGGTTTCATTGTCTTGTATATTACTTAACGTCAAAAACTCTATTAAACTTCTTTAAATGAAGTTCAAAAAGGAGGTAATCAAACTTCTAGATTGTTGTTAGATTCTGACCTTTTTAGGAAGAACATATGTTAATATTAATACCTGTCGAATTTTGTTGTTTACTTCGTTTAGTTTTATCATGCACGTTAGGATATATCTAAATGTTATCTATATATGTATTATAAAATATTTAGACTATTGATTTCACCCATTATTTGTTTACTCATATCTTGAGTTTGAATGACATACAATTAGCTAATTATACTTTTTGATTGAGATCATGAAGTGATTGACCACTATTGAAAACTTGAAACCACTGAACACTTGTTTCGTCCTAGGATGAAACTCTTCGGCAGTGCGCACCCAGTTCGAACATAAAAGCAATCCACGAAATTGTGCGACCATCTTGCATTTTCTGACGTAGATTTATGACTGCAATCAAAAACTTGACCATCTCCGCAACCCCATATTACTAATTATACTTGTTGCAGTTATCGAAATCGAACAACTTTCATATATTTTAAACTCTTGATATTGATCGTGCATGAACTTCTTTATTGAATACAGTTTATTTTAAGTTAAAAAAAAATCATAAGGCGAGTCCCAAATAAAATGAAACGCGTATCTTGGATTCCACTGCTAGCCAATATACACCTTTGCTTAGATTCAAGGTAGGTAACATATGCTCAAATCATCTTAATAGTTAATTTTCAGCTAATTTTATTCATCATATCAGATTATTAAGGTTTAAAGAAAATTTATATTAAAATATGTTTGTCATGTCTAATATTATTTTATTTTATTATTATTATTTTTCTTAAAGTCTTATCTATCAAGCAACATTTTCACATAGAATAGAATATAATGTGAAATAATGAATCCAGTGATCTGGAATGTCTTTTGTTACTTCGATCATCCCATGACCTCGAAATAAGAATTTGTTAAAAGAGAATTATTCTTCTTTCTGTTGATAAAAGTTTACTGACAAGATTAAAATTAAAATAATTTTGATAAAGATGAAAATAGTTTTGTTCTTTCATTAAAGCTTGTGATTTGAACCAGTAAATATAAAGTAACTTGCTTAAGTAAATATGTTTTACTGATTCATTTAGTGACTAGATTCAAGGTATATATATATATATAGTTATTTTTGGCATGGTAGTTTATTTTATTTACATGATAACAAAAATGACTATCGTTCAATGAATTCACATAGTATTTGCTTATCTTTTTATTTAGGTTTGTACTTTCATTAGTAGAAAACCAGAAATTAAAATGTTCAGTATAGTCACATCTTTTAAACAATAAGAAGAATTATAGTCATTATATAATTTTCTGTTGTTGTTAAGATATTACAATTTATTGATAAAAACTTTTTGAATTGAACTTATTAATAGAAACCATATCACTCATGATTGATAACCATCATAAACTGTTCATTCTATAGTTCAGCTAGTTCATGAATGAAACAGTTATCATGGATGATAGTGAATTATACTTGTAGTTTATTATAAATTGACTGAAGTCGTATCAAACAATGAGCTTAGAAAGTATCATAACTGCCACTTGAATGGTTTGCGCAGCACTTTATGCAATATGAGTTTTTATATTTCATAAAACTTTGTTTTTTATGTTTTGTGTGTTACGAACAGTATATATGACATTTATTAATAAACTTTAGTTAATAGAATCCGACTAATACTTTGGTCTCAATAAATGCGACATTGGGTGCTACTCAGTGATTATTCATTGCAGCTTGGTAGATTCTTTAGCTGTTCACTATGGAGTGATAACAGAAGTGCGACTATGACCTTGGAGATGAAATGAGACAGATATATTACAAGTTTCAACTGAAATTGTTAATTAAAGGATTTCCTGCTACTGGTCAAACAATGACAGTAACAATTTTATAGGGTTAAGGAAGTATATATTTTTTGCAAAAGATACAATTGCATTAGAACTGTTGTTCATGAATATTTAATTTTCACTACTTTTTCAATTAAACCTAGGGGTAAACAAAACAATTCGAAAAATAACTGTTTTAACTATCTATATCACATTATGTTAGTGTCATAAGACGAAGATTTACCTGAATAATTCACATCATCTTGTTTTATAAGGTTACGAGGAGTTTAAACTTACTTGAAGAGAAAGTAACGATGTAAATTCAGTATTCTAAAAGAATTCAAGTGAATTCAGGAGAATTTAAGTGACGTTCCTAAGTTTAGAATGGGGCATTTCATCAATCCTGTCAGTCTTTCAGAGCAAACTAGATATAGAGTATTTCAGTAGTCAGACGTTTGAATATGAAATTTCTTATTGAAATACAGTTTAGGAACATTATCTTTTCAAAAAGGTCAGCAATTGGTTCATAATAAGATCCAGAAATGAAAATGTTAGATTATAATATTGTAACAAACTTTTTATGTAGTCTCCAGGATGAACCGTTAAAAAAGAACATGTAATGTGTATATTTTGAGTAAATATTGCTTTTCTGGCATACAGAGTGCAACAAAGAGTACTTTATGCTTAGGAATGATTGTGTAGCAGTCAGACTTGATTGAAATTTATATGATTTTGAGATGCAAATTGCCTATTTGTTTACAAGTAATATGTTGAACTAAACACCCAGCTAGGAGATTCGAACTTTAAATGTTGTCAATTTATTTTTTTCAACAAGAATGGATTTGTATACTGAATTTTATAAGATCCAGCCTTAACGATTCACTTGATAAGTAAGTTTGCTTAGTAATATCAAAACACTGTAATCGATTTTTTCTCGACCCTTCTTACTTGAGGTAAACATGAGCATTATAAAGAACAACTTCAGTGAATCATGTAAATGCATATAATCAAATGAGTATTATTATCAGATTTATTATTACTATCATTATTATTATTGTTATTAATATGCTCACAAACGATAGGTCACTTAACTCAAACATTTTTAGTCAG